ACACCTCCAAGAGCTGTTCAGGCTCACGCATCTGGGAAGTGTTAGGGCCAGCACTTGAACCCCAATCTTCTGACTCCAGCACTCCCAGCTATCGTGGGTTACCTTTGGATCATTTTTGGTCCCTCAAGATTCTGCCCAAGCCCTCTCCATAATGGCAGAAAGGAGACTTCAGTTGGGTCTGTGGCTACTGGGGCTTGTAGGGAGCTGATTACTGAGGCAAAGAATAGATCAGAATCCTTAGGAAGGAGTTTTCAGGACTAGGAAAGATCAGGGATGCTCTGGCTCTGGTCCTTAATTCAATTAAAAATGTTTATTAAATGCCTATAATATATATGAGTTCTTTGTTTTTTGTGTATGTATATGCAGATGTACACACATCATACGTGTGTGTATATATATTCATGAATATATATGGGCATATGATATGCATCCATGTATATATTTATATATATTTTATTTATATGTATATACATGAAGTGCTCTGATCCAAGGGAATACAAGACAGATCCATAAGGAAAGAGAATGATACAGGTACTGCTTTCAACAAGCCTACAACCAAATAGGAGGAAAGACATGTATACAAATAAACTGTTGCACAAGGGAGGGAGTACAAAGGAGAGGTTCTGGCAAATCTCTAAGAGAAATTTCAAGAGAGGAAATCAGAGAGGGCTTCATGGAAGAGGTGGCACTTGAGCTGGTACTTGAAAGAAGGGAGAGGCTCCGACAGATGTTCATGAGAAGGGAGGAGGAGTCTGTCTCAGGCATAGGAGAGTGTGAGAGCAAAGGCCTGGTGATGGGATATCACCAGGATCAGGATGAGAGATGGGCAGTACTAGTTTGGCTGAAAGATAGAATTCATGATGAGGAATGCTATGGGATAAGACTGGATGGAGAAGCTGTAACCACATGAGACAGGACCTTGAATGTCAGAAGAAGACATTTATTCCATTTATTGTATAGTAGACAATGAGTAGCCACTGAAAGTTTTTCAGTAAAGGAAGGCTACGTGCATAGTAGCAACTTAGAAAGGATTCTTAGGCAGAGAGTGGTATGGAGGATGGAACAAGGCAGGGACAGTCTGGAGTCAGGAAGACCATTGTATGGGGCAGCTAGGTGGCACAGTGGATAGAGCACCAGCCCTGGAGTCAGGAGGACCTGAGTTCAAATCTGGCCTCAGACACATAACGCTTACTAGCTGTGTGACCCTGGTCAAGTCACTTAACTACAGTTGCCTCACCGAAAAAAAGAAAAAAGAGAGAGAGACCATTGCAATAGTGCCATTGGGAGGGGATGAGGGCCTGACTGACTTATGGTGGTTGTAAAGAGGGGAAGAATATGAGCTATCATAGAAAGGAAAGGTCATAGGACTTTACAATTGATTGGATATTGGTAGTGATTAAAAGAGAAGAGTCAACAACTTCATTCACTCTTGACTTTTCACCTCTTGGCAGATGACTGCAACAGTTACACCTCCAGCCCTGATCTCTCTCCAGAACTCTGGTTTTCTATTTCCACTGGCCTACTAGATCCCTCCATCTGGATTTCTTGCCTTTAAGCTTAACATATTCCAAAATGAATCTATCGCCTTCCTCCCCCTAAACTTGATCCTCCCCATAACTTACCTATTTCTGTTATTGCTACCACCATCCTCTGAGTAGCTGTGGTTTGAAACATTCACTTACAAGGAAACTGAGGCTCATAGGGGATCAATGACCAGCCACTAAGTGTAGTAGTGGGATTCTACAACTAGTCTCTCCTGACTCCAAATCTAGTGTGGAGGGAGGGGAAGAAAAAAGAGAAAACAAAGATGGGAGGGGAGAGAGAAGAAAAGTGGGGAGAGAAAGAGAAGGGAAAGAGGGAGAGAAATGAAATGAACAAGGGCAATTAGGTGGTGCAGTGGATAGAACACCGGCCCTGAAGTCAGGAGGATGTGAGTTCAAGTCTAGCCTCAGACACTTGACACTCACTAGCTCTGTGACCCTGGGCAAGTCACTTAACCCCATTGCCTAGCAAAAAAACAAAAAAAAAAGAAAAGAAAAGAAATGAACAGCGAGAGAGAAGAAAGGGAAGAGGGAAGAAAGAGAAGGAAGAAAAAATGAGAGAGGGAGGGAAGAATTGAAGAGAAGAGGGAAAGGAAGAGAAAGAGGGAAGAAAGAATTAGAAGAGGAAAAGATAGGGAGAAGGGGTGTGTGTGTGTGTGTGTGTGTGTGTGTGTAAAAGAGTTAGTTACATAATCCCCCAGCTGGGCTCAAAGGAAAAAAAATGATTTGGAGAGGGTGGAAGCAGCTCTCAGGAAGAGATGGTTATATAACAGTTGTATCAGCTTCAAGGAGGTAACTAACTGCTAGTCGACAGATGAAGAAACCCTGGGGCTGTGGGTACATAGGAGAGAGATTGACTGATAAAGGAGAAAAGGAAAATCAAAAGACAACCAGAGAATCCACAGAGACAGATAAAAATGAATTCTCATTTAAGCATCCTAGGAAAACACATGCCACCTCTCTTACATAAAAACAAGAGAAAAGCCGAGCGCTTCTTTTCCATTCTAAACAGGCAAGGGATGAGGGAACCAAAGCAAGATGGGCTGAGGCCCACTTCCAGAAAGACCCTTCTGACACTTCACACTTTTCCATTTAAAAAAGCACTTTATTCACAGCACTCCTTTGAGATACCAAGTGCCAAGATTTTCATCGGGAATTTACATGTGAATAAGCTTGGGGGCCAAGGGCTGCCCAAGGTCATATAACTAGTAAGTGAGAGTGCTAGGACTTGAACCCAGATCCCCAGGGTTCTTTCTATTGTTCCACAATGCCCTTCTCTCATGAGGATGATCCAAAGGCAAGGACAGGCAACCCTAAGTGGCTGTGCCATGTCTGACTTTTTACATCATCCAAGAGAGAATAGGTATCCATTGATCCTGGTGGAGGAAGGGGCTTAGAAGGGAGAGTAAGACACTTATCTGTCTGCTCCCGAGTGATTCTGTCTAGAAATAGTCCCATTGCCATCTACTCACCCCTACCAACACCCTCCCTCCCTACCCCTCCAAGACTACCTTCATCCTAGGGATTATTCTCTCCCTCTACCTCCCCAGAGCCTCCTCTGCCTTTTAGATGCAACAAGGTAGTGCAGTGGATAGAGTGCTGGACCTGGAATTAGGAAAAGCTGAGTTCAAATCCAGCCTCAGACACTTACTAGCTATATGACCCTGGACAAGTCACTTAACCTCTACATACCTTACTTTCCTCATCCGTAAAAATGAGATAATAATAACATTTACCTCCAGATCTGTTATGAAGATAAAATAAGATTGTATTTATAAAGTGCTAGCTATCATTAGTCTTTCTTCACCTCACTCCAAACCATTCTCTTTCTCCATCTTCTGACCTGGGCTCCTTCAAGTCTGACCCATCACTATAGCCCTTGGTTATAGCCATAGTCTCTAACTGCTCCATGAGTATGCATCTTCCCACCCCCATAACAGATCATGAACTCCCTGAAAGTGGGACTCAAATCTACTTTCCTTCTAACCCAGACTATAAATTCCCTGAAGGTAGGGACCACTTCCTCTCTCCCAGTTTCCCCCACAATGTAGTCCAAAGTGGAAATAATAAGCCCCCAAGTACTTGAGTTATTTGAATTCACACCATATATTTCCATTGGGCCAAAATAAAGATCATATTTTACATATCATAACTTCAAATAGTGCGAATTTGAATACAGGTAACCACTTCAGGGGGATTCCGGAGTTAGCTATAAGTACTTAGTGTATACCTTAGGGATACTTCTATGCCTTTCCAGGGATCAGGGTTCCTTTCCTTATACCACATTCTGATCAAACCAAGCAGTTAAGACACAGGTTTTATGCCTCTTCAGTTCCTAACACCCTGTTGCCTTGAGCCACCCTAACCCCTGTACATGACGGTCCCCAGAAATTTCCCTCCTCCTCCACTACCTGGCCAACAGAGGTGACTGGCCCCTGCCTGCTCCAACTCTCACTCTATTTCTCCTCCGTCTCTGGCCTAACTAAGCCATCTACTAACATCTGGCAGTGTCTACTCAGCTGCATGCAGAGATGTGATTTTAATCCTGCTCAGTTAATTAGTGAAAATAATGAACTGGCTGTTCCAGCTAATCAGCCAGCTCATGGGGTGGGGTGGGGGGAGGAGAAGGACAGCAAGGATGTTGTATGATAGCCCCAGGGTGCAAGTCTAAAGGATGATGCTCTCAAATGCTTTGCGTGGTAGTGAAAAGAGCCCTATGCTAGAAGTTAGGACAGCCAGGTCCAGATTCTGCCTCAGTTTCCCTATCTGTGCCAGGAAGGCAACTGTACCCATAGTTCGCATTCTCCCAGGGTACCCAGGCTTCCAGTACCAACACACAAGTCAACCTAGTCTCTCTCAGTCTTCTCCCACTAGCAGCCACCATCGGCAAGGAAGGACTGGCACCCAGTTGGCTCTGACATCCCCTTAGTTCCCAGGCCCAGTCTTGGTACTGGTCATTGCCCCAGGGAATATTAAGGGGAGACAGTAACCCTGTCCCAGATCTCCAAGGTGTTTCCTTTTTCTAGTTCCCATTTTGTTTATTATTCCCTTAGGGAACAGCCCTTCTGATAACCACAGCATGCTAATGTGAGCGCTGATATGTTACCCCTAAGCAGGTAAGACAAGTGCATTTTAACAGGAAGATTTCCAGAGAAGACAGTGGCTCTCTCTAATGGTAAAATTTCCAGGTCAGGCAGCCGAGGGATACAGAAATGTTTGGGGTCCCAGCTTCTGTGACATCACATTACGCGTACAAGCAAGGCTGGCTATGGCCTGCTCACCTCCTCCCCCAGAAACATAGGGCAGCCCTTGACTCTGTCTTTCCCTCAGACCGGGAGGTCCCTGAGGGTAGGGGCTGGGCTTCCTTCTGTCTGACTTCCTTCAGGGCTCTCACTGGTGCCCCCCCCAACCCCTCCCCTATTAAAGAAGGGCTGGTTGGGGAAGGAGACAGCTTCTCACCTTCAGTCACATTTTCTATTTGTTCATATTTCAAGCACTTTTCCCGCTCCAACTCTATGCTCTGTACTATGAGACATTCTTCTTGCAGGAGGTTGGCTACCTGTGAGACAGAAAGTAATCCAGGTTAGTGGCCCAGGAAGTCCCAGCCCCTGGCCTGTGTGAAGAAAGGGCCACTGCCCAGCAACAACACCTCAGGCCCCCAGGGTCAGGGGACAAGATCAGCTCCCTCTCCTCCCCCAACCCAAGGCCCAACAGGGATAATGGAGTCCCAGCCCTCCCACTAACTTGCTACATGGCCTTTGGCAAGTAACTTGGCCTCTTGGGGCCTCAGTTTTCCCATCTGTAAAATGAGCGAGTCCAACTCTGACATTCCGTGATTCTATAATTAGAGAGGTTAACAGGCTGACAGAAAAAAATAAAATAAAATTCCTGGCACATAATAGATGTTTCATTAATGCTTTTTGACTAATTGACTGTAATGCAGGAGTGGCTTTTGAACAATATACTGTCTTGCATTATCTGGGATTTGTGAGGAGATGCTTCAAGCTGACAGTAGTCCATGGCACATCTCACCCTGACAGCATTCTTTATTGTTGTTGTTGTTGTTCAGTCATTTCAGTTTTGTCTGACTCTTCGTGACCCCATTTGGGGTTTTCTTGGCAAAGATACTGGAGTGATTTGTCATTTCCTTCTCCATCTCATTGGATGGGGAAACTGAGGCAAACAGGGTTAAGTGACTTGCTCAGGGTCACACAGCTAGTGGGGCTGGATTTGAACTCTGGAAGATGAGTCTTCCTGACTCTAAGCCCAGCATTCGATCCATTGTACCACCTATGAATCATCTATAAAACGGAGCTGAGAATAATTCTTGCCCCTCCCTGCCTTCTACCTTAGCCTGCATTTTCTCCTCTTTCTTTAAAAACACACAAGCATTTCCACTGAGGTCAGGAGGACTTTGAAATCTCTTGTTCTGTCGCCTTCAGTTTGCTTGGTGTCTGGCACAACTGGCAAATTTATAAGAATAGCTCGCTATTTTCAGAGCTTCTGTATTCTAGAACGGTTTGGGTGGCAATCCCTGCTAAACGTAGAAGGGATCCTTGTGGTATCAGGCTGCATTTTCTCCACAGCTGGCACAGTTTGAGCTCAGACCTACGGCACTCACTAACTCACTTAACCCAAGAAATAGGTCTTCTTTCCCAACGCTGTTCCTAGGAAATCCTTTCTTCCATTTTCTGTTTTCATTTGACAAGCATTTGTAAGTCCCTATGATGTGTCAAGTACTGGGCTAGGACCTAACGATGCAAAAATAGCGCCTGCCAACCTACCGAGGGGGTAAATGCTTTATTTGGATAAATAATTGTGAAATAGATCATGTCAAGGGGCAAGGAAAGCACTAGTAACTAGGGAGGGTGCCCCATCAGGAAAGACCTCATAGATAAGGTGGCGCTGAGCTGAGCCTTGGGAATAGGGAAGGATCCCACAAGGTAGGGTTGAGGAGGCAGAGTATTCCAGGCATGGTGGGGGATAGCTTGTGCAAAGACATGGGAACAAACAAATAGGCCAGTTGGACTGGAATGGAGAGTTTGTGAAGGAGGGGTGATGTGTAATCATTCCAGAAAGAGGTGTCGGAGCCAGGATTTGAAGGGTCTTAAGTTTCAAACTTTATTCTAGGGTTAATAAGGAGCCGTTGAAGCTTCCAGACCAGGGGGTGACATGATAAGATCTGTGCTTTAGGAACATCAGTTCAGTGGCTATAGGAGATGATAGAGAAGGGAAAGGCTGTATTCAGAGGCATCCTTTGTGAGCTTGTATCAACAGCCTAGGCAGAAGGTGATAAGTGCCTGAACCACAGTGGTGATGGTGTGAGTGGAGAGAAAGGGAAGGAGATGTAGCAGAGGTCGAATCAGGAAGATTTGGCAACTGATAGGTCATGGCAAATAAGGAAGAGGTGAACCCAAATGCCTGGAAAGACTGGTGCAGAAACAGGAGGAGAAAGAAAGAGTTTAGGCAGAAGATAATGAATTCTGTTGTGGACATATTAAGTTCAAGATGCTTCTGGGACATCTTAGAAGGGGAGGATACAGGTTGGTGATACAGGACTGATACTCTGGCTGGACATAGAGCTCTGGGAATTATCTGCTTGGAGCATACCCAAATAAGGGGCAGTGCATGGATGAGATGATAGAACAGGGAAGACTAAGAAGGAATATTAGGTAGGTAGGAGTAGAACCAGCCAAGAATAGTGTCATTAAAACTCAGGGAGGACAGTTAGTATCACATGGTGCAGAGAGGGAAGAAAGATGAGGATTGAGAAAAAGCCATTGGGGCAGCTAGGTGGTGCAGTAGATAGAGCACCAGCCCTGAAGTCAGGAGGACCTGAGTTGAAATCTGGTCTCAGACCAAACACTTGACACTTACTAGCTGTGTGACCCTGGGCAAGTCACTTAACCCAAATTGCCTAAACAAAACAAAACAAAAAACAACAACAACAACAAAAAAACCAAAGAGAAAAAGCCATTGGATCTACCATTGAACAGATCTTTAGGAAGCTGGAAGAGACCAGTTTTAATCGAGTAGAGGGGTTGGAAGTCAGAGTTCGAGGGGCTGAGAAGTGTGTTGATATGTGTGTGGAAGTGGAGGCAATGATTATAAACAGTTTTTTTTTTTCTAGAATTTTGACTATGAAAGGAAGGAGAAGCATAGGATGAGAGCTTGAAGTCATGGCTAGGTCTGGGCGCGTTCGTGAGGAAGAAGGAGCCAGTGGAGGGATTGACAAATTGAAGATTAGTGATGGGATCAAGAGCACACTCAGGTGGCGGGGTTGGCCTTGGTAAGGAGTAAGATCATCTCTTCTTCTGAGATTAGAGGAAAGGAGGAGAGAGGAAAACACGACAGGGAATTGGAGGCATAGAACGGGGGGGCGGGGGAGTCACTTCACAACAGATGGTCTTTATTTTCTCAGTAAAGTAGGAGGCAAGGCATTAACTTCTGAACGCTTCAAAAACTGCTAAATCTTAGATAAAGTTCCAGCAAATGGGCAACTGTGTGAAAGACGGATTGGTGAGAAGAGAGGCTAGATGCAAAGATTCCTCAATCAATAGCTGCTGAGAATTGGTTAATTTGAGAAGAAATCCAAGGGGAGTGCATGGCAGGGCCTGGGGATTGTCTTCTGACTCTGATTTGGTTTCTCCTTTCTCAGCGTTCTGGATATGTTGTCTTCTTCATTACAACGGGACTTCCTAAGGACAGGGCTCTGCTTCTCCCATCAGAGCTCCCCAATCCCCACCCCTGAATAGCCCAACTCTGAATAGGCTGAAAGACTCCTTCCCTAGCCCTTTAGATATACAGCGCACCAGCACGTTCTCACATCAATACTCATCACATCACATATACCATATCATGCCATACCATTCCATATCATATCATACCACGCCATACCATATCATGCCATGCCATGCCACATCATATCATGTCATACCATACCTTATCATGCCATACCATATCATTCTATACCATACCATACCATAGGTGAGTCAGTAAAGAAAAGGGATATTATACTATTTTGGGTTTTGAGGCAATGGGTATGTGAGGCTGTGGGTAGTTAATTAGCCAGCCAGTGATGAATAAGCCAGAGTGGAGTAGAAAGAAAGTTGACTGTGGAACCAGATGACTACTGGTATGGAGCCCAATTCATGGGAACTTCATGACCACAGGCATCTCTGAGCCTCAGTTTCCTCCTTTGTGAAATGAGGACCTGGTAGGTCCCTCCCAGCTCTAACTCCTCTGATCTATGACCTAAGATTTTCTTCTCTAACCTGGATGGGTCAAGGCTATGGACTAGCTGCCACTAAGGTGGAACAGCTGGCACTTTGCCCCAAGGCGCAGAAGCTTAACAGCATCTTGGGGTGCATTCCTCCTACCATACCCCTTGGGGTCCTCCTTGCCCTCCCTTGATGACTAAAGCCTCATCCCAAGATAACCCCCCTCCCTTCTATCCTCCCATTCCCATTTCCCCAGAATTCTTTAGCAGCATAGAAATTTTGAAGTGTCCCCGGGCAGGCATTCTCCTTCTCAGCCACTGTAGCCCAGGTAAGCTTCTCCCACCCCCTTCCTTGACCTTCTCTTGCTTGCTTCAGGTGCAAACATTCCTAGTTCATACTTTGCCCCCAAACACTCATGGACATAGTTGTGTGCCTGTTAATGCTTGAGAAATACTTGTCTCAGTAGAAAGATCACTTGCTCTAGCATCACAAGACTTGGGTTCTAGTCTCACCTCTGATATTTACTACCTGGGTGGCCTTGGACAAGTCACTCAGAGCCTCAGTTTCCTTGTCTGTAAAATGGGGGGATTGGACTACATGGCCTCATACATCTATGTTCCTAGGTTTCACCTTTCTCTCTGTTCCATCTCCTGGCTGTATCCCTTCTTCTTCATTATAATGAAACAATACCCATGTCTCCTTCCATCAATGGGTATTTCCCCCATCATCCCCACACAGCCCTATTCTGAATAGGTTAAGCCTCTTTCCTCTGCCCTCTAAACATTCAGCACACATAGCTTCTGACTCTCCTCACATCCTCATGTTTAGAGTTATGAGATAACACACAGGAAGCGTTTTTGCAAACCTTAAGGTTTGCAAAATCAATGCTATTATTATTATTATTTATTATTAGAAGGAACATTAGAGATCATCTGGTCCAACCTCGTCATTTTACAGAAGGAACTGAGGCTCAGAATGAGAAGTCAGTTCTCCAGACTTAATTGCTGCACAATTTCTTTGGACCTCTCCACATGATTAGTTTTAATAGTCTGGGGCTGAAGCATTTCCCCACCACTAATCTTCCTCACCAACCCCACCAGATTATGGCAGCAGCTTCCTCACAGCTGTCTCTGAATCCTCTCCCATCAGAATAGTGGAAAGAATGGTGGGCTTGAGATCCAAATATCTAGCTGGGGTGAGGAACCTGCGGCCTCGAGGCTGTCAAAGGGCCACACTTGAGGACCTAGAGGGCCACGTCCCCACCACGGTCTACATTGAAGCCCAGGCTCTGACATTTATCAGCTGTCTGCCCTTGGGTACGTTACTTCCCCATTATAAG